TGGTCATATGACCACTTAGTTTACATAATTAAAAAAGATCATGCCATCTACATAGCTTCTGATTTTACAACCCCTCATCCTTATTTAAAACATATAATTACCTTTTTTTTTCATGAAGGGTTGGAAAGTCAGAAGCTATGTAGATGGCATGATGTTTTTAATTATGTAAACTAAGTAGTCATAAGACCATGGTTTTTTTGTATTTATATGGTTGTACAATATTTGTTTTTCACACTCTTGACCATGATGTGAATCGACTTTGAAACATATAGTGTGCCTTTTAAGACCATTACTCAGTCTTAGAATAAATATTTTAATTGTGTACCAAACAACTTTGATCATTTGAGTATTATAATATATTTTTACTTGTGGATTGTACATTTTCTTTTGTATTTATGGTCTATGTAAAGCAATAGGCTCACATATAAAATACTTGTGGATTGTTAATTTTCATTTTGTATTTTCTGTGATAATATTTTGTATGTACCATTAATAACTTCATCATCTTGTTACTATGAGTTGTTGTTTGACTCTTGTGTTCATATATTGCTGTTGTATATGCTTCCATAATTATCTCCATTACCTATGTTGAGAATATGATGCCTAATATTATTAATACTGTAAGCTACATGCTCCTTAATATAGATTGTTTGCTGTACAAATTATGAGGTTTAAAATTTTGTCTTGAACACTCACTTTGGAATTTTTAAATAATCTCACTTAGTATGATACAGTGTGAGTAAGGCCAGTTCAGAAACAAGTGCATTGCATATTATAGACATCACCAGCTAGTACATGGTTTTAAATCTCTTCTTTAAAAAAAAAATAAACTTGTATCAATCCCATTTTCTCAGGAAAATGAGCAAAGGATAGGTCAGTTCATGTCAGAATGTAAACATTTGACTTTCAAACTACAAATTCCTGTAATTTTTGACTTACTAATTTGTTTAGTTTCACAATCATCAGTCAGTAATATATATATATTAAGTGAATTTTCAATAGTCTTTCAAAGAGAAGTTACATAATTTTCAAATTACAATTACATTAACCTTTACATGATCAGATGGGTGATAAAACCCCAACTTTATCATCAAGAGGTCTTTGAGTAGTATTAGGAGATTTAAATTCATTATTTTTTAAACTTCATATTTCAATGCACAAAACTTTAACAAGATTTCAGGAATAATTTTTCCCTCAAGAGCAAGTAAACATCTATATGTAACCAACCACGATTCCTCTCACTTCCTCTTTCATAATTTCATGGAAGCTAACATTTCACCTAATGTGATGAGGATGTATTATTTAAACAATAATAAAATAACAGCATGGTCCCAAAAATATAGGAATTTAAAGTAGACATGTGATGAAGTTAAACTAGGGGAACTGTTTTAGATATCGTTTCAAAATAAAAGTGGGATTTCCCTTTCATAAAAGGGATTTAGAATTATTAAATATGCCAGAAAAGCTAGTATTTTTAAACCTGGTCAATCTATCACGAAAAGGAGCATACAAATCATTATTTCATCCACAAGGTTTTAAGAAAAATAAAAAAAAGATAAAAAGAGGAAAACATTCAATAAAAAATACTCAATATACCCAAAAATATTATTGTAACACTACAGAGTAAACAATGAAAATGGATAACACAGATTGTCCAATTAAAATTCACTAGAGGATACACATACTTTAAGGTATGCTTAAAATATAGGTAACCTGAAAAAGTGGGGAGTTCAACACTATGATAAAAATTTGTAATGTAAAATAAAAAGTATATAAAAAAATACTTAAAACTTTAGTTCCCATGACAAAAATTAATTGTTTCCCTTAAGAATCAAACAAAAACTTTTTACTCAAATTTCATAACTATTTTTCCCCCTCCCACAATGATTGAAGAGAGCAAAATTATGATTAATAATGGCTGGAGACGGCTTAAATGGGTAATGAAGAAAAACTTTAATATAAGTTTAACATGTCGTCATCGAAATTAAAATTATGATTACTTTTTTAAAAACATGCCATAGAAATTTCATTTTAATGCTTCTTATTCCTAAAAACCACTATTAACAAACTATCCAAAAATATTTCATGTTCAAATTTTAAAATTATTCTTTCAATATTTTGTTCAAGCTCACTTCCTAAGAGTGGCAGAAAAATGCTCAAAAAATCATCTTCATTTATCTTAAAAACATAAAAGAGAACAATACAGAAGAAAGATGAATTAATCAGAGGTGAGAAAAGAGGATTATGTTAAGACAGCTACTAAGTTTAAAATTTTCTAAATAGAGATCACACAACTGCAAGTGAAACCACAGAGAACATGCCTTATTATATTTCTATAGCCAATTTCGTTTAAAATCTTTCAGTAATAGTTACATAAAGGTACTAAAAGCAATAAAATCTATGCCTAACTACTGCAGTTTTTGTTTCTGAACTAAATCTGAAAGCCTAATAATAACAGAAACATCAAATTTAACTATGTGCAAGACAAGGAAGTCTCTGAACATCTTTCATTTTATGGTTATAATATGAGCTATATATGCATATAAAGAGTTACAGAACCGAAAATCGCAATGAGAGAATTTAGAAAATTACAAAGCTTGGACATAATTTTGATAAGTGGGAAACAGTCTCACTAAACTGGCCCAATAGTTGGCTGCTTTCAGATTTGTTTGTTCATATGATGTATTTGCTCAAATATATCACACAAAAGTTCATACACTTGACCAACACAAAATTTCATAATTTCCTAGAATGGAATTATCTGTTTTCAAGGACACAATAGTATCAATTACTTAAGAAATGGACCTTAATGCCCTACAAGTTAAATATTCACTGAAAACTATTAACAGCTAAATGTAAAAATCACTATACACCAGTTCTTTTAAGTTCTCACACAGTAAAAACATACCTAATAAACATAAACAACTTTTTACAAAAAACACAGACTAATGAAACTTAAAAATAATAATCTTTTCTTTTTAATATAACAAACAAGTTAAAAGTATGGATAAATAACATTAACAACCTCTTTACGACACATCAGACAAGTTTAAGTTTCAAACACAAAAGGTTAAAATAAAAGTTAACATTTTCCTAAATTGAAAATGTATTTTCAATAATACTTACCTCCACTGACACTTATACCTATTATTCAACCTCCAGGGTTTCTTCCTTTGCCCTTCTAAACATTTGGCTGATTTTTTCTCACATGCCCCAGTCTTTTATACCCTACTCAATTGCCCTTGGTGATATCAGTCTTGTGATACTCTCCACCTACGTCAATGTGCCCTCTATACTGGTACTGTATATAAGCACTTCATTCAGATAATGTTATCACTTTTTCAAGACTGACTCCATCCCAGTCTCTAACACCAGCTCTTAGTTGGAGGAAGGGCAGAAGAGTGTCAGCGGAGGTAAGTATTATTGTAAATACATTTTCAATTTAGGAAAATGTTAACTTCCAAAACATAACTTATCCTTATAGCTAGAATACCACATTGAGAAGGTGGAGGAGTCGGTGAGGGCATTATCTATACAGAAAGCATCTGCATAGATCATGGGCGTACCATGAGAAGATTGGTACCCTAGTAGGGGAACTGCATTACATCCAGTACAGGTATGCTCTTCAACCTGAACTTTATTTCTGTATTAAGGGTGGAATTGTATACGAGTGATTATCAATCACTACAGGCCAGTCCCAACCAGATAGCTGAGATTCCACTACTCAGGGTTGGAATTAAGGGGTCTTGGTCCCTATATCCCATGTTGATGGCTAGGGAAATTGGACTACAACATTATATATAAATATATATACTTTTGACTGGATCCCAACCTGTAGCAAAAGAGTGATGCATTCCAAACCACCGGGATCACGACGAAAAAGTAAGCAACACCAAAGCAGACAAATCTGCTCCTCCACCTAAAGAAGCCCAAAAGGCAATACCACAGGCTCAGAATGATGGAATTGTGTATGCCTTACTAAACCAAAGGAATATAACTCATCCAGTCTGAAATTAGGAATGTTCATTCTCACTTCCCAATGAATGGGCAAGGAGCCTTCCACTTGCCCTGGGAATTATGGGGAGGACATAGAACAACTGTGCTCAACCAAGGACCCAGAATGGGACCACTCCACCTTTGGAATTATGAGAAGATGGTGGACCCTCTTCCATGAACAATGTACTGAACTGATATTGATAAAAAAAAGGGCCATGCACACTCCAACTGGAGAGTCGAGCATCAAGTCTGAACCGGTAGGCTGGTGCCACTCCCACAGACATTTGGGAAAAAACATCCAGGGACCAGGATAGGAGGACCACAACTTTGCTCTCTTCTATGAGAATGGAGGAATTCACTCTAACACTCTGGAGGAAAAGTATCTGTCCATCATTCCAGTGAATGAAAATCGGGTGTGATAAGGACTTCCTAGCTCCACTAGTAGAATCTGGGGGGTAATGTGCATTGGGGATTCCTGAAGAAAAGTGCAATAGGCGAACCAAGTTTCCTAAATTTTTAAAAGCAAACCGACCCAGATTTATTCAAGCTAATGATCGCCACAGGGATAGGCAGGATCCCCTTTAGATTTACTTATGATAGTCCATGAGTGGCAGTCCAGCATAGTATGGTAATACCATCTAGTGAGATCCTAGATGGTCTTATGGAACACCTCATTTCTACAGAGCCTGTTGCAACCAGTAGTAAAAATAGTGAAATAGTGGTTGCTAGTATGGAATAGTATTGATAAAAGCACACCTGCCTGGGCAATACTCACCACAGAGTGCAATCCATGGAAAGAAAAAGGTAAGGTACCCTGGAAAGTAAAGAGACAAGGAGTAAAAATATATCTCTCCTTATAATCTAGCACAAAACAGCCACAGAGAGTAGGCAAAAACCCTTAGAGGAAGAAACTTCAAGATTATGTAAATAATGTGAGAGAAAATTATTGTGGAAAGTCCATATATCAGCTTGCACAATGTCTTCCAGCGGGCAACAAAAGACAGAAATGTGATGAGAAGTGACTCGCAGAAGTTTTCTCGCCTGTAAAGATAGTCCAGAATAAGCAATATGGATCAATTTGTAAACCCACCTCATCAAGGTAATCAGGGATAAATCGCAGGAAACTGAAAGATTTCAATGAATAAAAAGTTGGTTTCTAGCACCTCGAAAGGAGTTAGTGCAAGCCACATAACACCTCAGGATCCTAATGGGACATAACACACAATCGGGGTCCGAGCAGTCAAAGAGGTGAGAAATAGCTGGCAAATGAATTGGTAAGAAGGATTTATCATCTTCCCTAACTGCCAGAATCTTAGGTTGAAAGAGCCTATCTGGGTATAGCAGAACATAAGCAGAGTGATAAAGAGAAAGATTTATCATCTTCCCTGGTTGCCATAATCTTAAGATATTTTCTTCATGTGGCCTTAGGATATCTTCTCAAAAGACTAATTCTTAACTCAAGATTTTACAACTAATGACATTTTAATATTAATATGGCAGATGAAATAAAAAAGACTGTTGTTAACATACCCATTGTTTTTTTTTGGCCGCATCTACTTCTTTATTTTTCTCTGCTTCATATAATTTCTTCAGTTTTTCTGCAGAAGACTTCTGTTCCTGCTCCCAGCTGTTTTGCAACTCCAACAAAGTCAATTCTAAATAAAGGACAAACGTATGTATTTATATAAGCAGATTACACATGCTAAATTCATGTTGATACAAAACTTTTTGCCTTTTTCATGGAAGTGAGTAGGAGTAATACAACAAAACTTTGTTTTCCTGAATTATCTTGCTCAAAACTACATTGTTTTTCATGTTTACGTGTTCCAAACTCATGGACATTTCTGAATGGCTGACTTTCTGCTTCTACCTCACCTTCAGCAACTACTAGTATATAATATAGATACATACACAAGCACAGACAGAGAGAGAGAAAGTTTTTTGACAGGAATTTCCAAAAAAGGCAACACACAGTTTTAAAATTTCAGTTTTTGGCTCTGATGGTCAACAATCCCTGCAGCAAAAATTGTGGATGTGTACACCAGAAATAATCTATATAGACATCTATAGAAACCACACGTACTTTGTCTCAGTGTGGGTCTCAAGTTTTGTGTGTTCAGGTGATGAATAATATCAGTGACATCACCAAAAGCTAATTCTGGGATGCAACTATATGACATATTCCTTATCAACTGCCTTAGTAAGCCACTAATTTATAAGATTTTTCTTGTTTGTCTGAGTTTAACTAAAGATTACATTATTCCTCTCCAGACCTGAAGGTTACAGAGATTGTACACAATGCACTTTTTCTTTCTTCAGAATAATCCTAGAGAGTACTGGAATGTGGGTGAAAGTAAAAGGATGTGCCCCTAGGTGTAGAGTGGCAAGGGTGCAACGGACCATACACGGCAAGTCAACTGCATCCAAAACCCAGGCTGCCGTGAAGTGATATCCACGCAGGGGTAATGTGAGGATCATAAAGTAGGTAAGTCGACTACAATCCAAAACCCAGCCACCAGGAACTGACATCCATGTGGGGGTAGGAAACAGGATCATACTGGTTATAAGTCAACTACACTCCAAAACTCAGCCATCTGGTGGGGGTAGGAGAGAGGATCATACTGTCTTCACCTCAAGTTCAGCAGAATGGATAGCAATGTGATGAATTGTTTGACTAATCCGGACGATCGGTATAGTAAAGATGTCTCTGTAATGTAAGCTATCTCACGCAAAACTAATCCGACAGGAACCACCCCTAGTGCAATAACATCATTGGTATAAGAAAGTCATCGAGGGATAGTGTAAAAGAAGAACCGTATGAATCAGCAAGTACCACCACCATGACCCACAACATGGATGGAGGAACAAGAGTATAACTGAGTGAGGAAACAGAAACACCTATAATACATGTGTGATTGGTTCAGCTCTGAATCCAAAACCCTGCCACTGAGAACCAACATCCACGTGGGAGTAGGATAAGGGATCCCAGCCAAAGGAGTGAACTGCAGTTTTGATGACTTACTCCAAATCTACCACATCCCCATCAGATAAACCTGTACAGAGACAGAGCATCAGATTGGAATACATACATCATCTACACCCTACTCTCAACTGAATGGTTTTATCATTACATGTATCGCCTATCATTATCACATTCAGGAGGATGCCCCAATGGTCCACCACCCCAGTGGCTTGGAACTGAAAAGTGGTAAGGACTCCCATGCTCCACTGGAAGAAAAGGGGGGTAGAGAGAACATGCGGTGGATAATCCAGAGGAACGACAACACCAGAAACAGTGCAACAGGTGAACACTGAAAACGCCATTTTGAAAAGCAGACCATACCAAATATATTCATTTGAAGGCATGGCAGGAATGGGCAGCTATCCCCTCCTGCTTTACACAAGTTTAAAGTTTATGGGTGAGTAAAGTCTGAAACGGGCATATTAATGAAGCAAATATATTGCGAGGAAAACCTACAAGCGATCTTGTGAAACACTCCATCTCAACAGTAAGCATGTTATGACTATGGAAATTTGAAATAAGCAGTCAACATGGCCTGACAGTGCAATTTGACTATGAGAAACATAGCTGGTCAGGCACCACTCACCACATAATGGGATCCAGACAGTATGAAAAAAAGGAAAAACCCCTGAAAAAACAAGATATATAAAGATAAATTACCCAATCACAGTCACACCAAAGTCTAAAGAATGGATACAGGCAGAATATGATAACCCAAAGATGAAGACACAGTGATCCGATGCAGATAGTAAGATATGAACATATGTGGGATAGTCCACATGTCCAATTGAAGAATTTCTTCCAATGGATGATGGAGAAGAGACTCCAGGAAAAAGGTAAGATGCTTGATCTGATGAGAAGACACCTGTAACAAATTATGGAAGAACACAATAAGGAAGAATAAGCCAATCAAGTTAAAAGCCAAACTCAGTTGGTTAGGGTGGAAGGAAAAAGGTCAGAAACAGAGGATGTCTGCCAAAGGAATGAATAGGCTGGAAGGGGAACCACGAAAGGAAGCCGTGCAGGCAACATAACAATAAAGAGCATGGACAGGACACAGTAGCTTATCTGTATGAGACTGAGGATAAAGGTGGGAAATGAAAGGAAGGAAAATCAGTGAGGAGGAATTACCCTCCTGAGCCCCTGAAGTTTTGGAAAGAAAAGATTGATCTGGATAAAGAAGAATATATGTGGAATGATATAGAGTACATGAAATGTTGATGGTAAATAAATCCAACCAACTATGTCAACAGGTTAATAGTAGAAAAATATAAGTCTTAAGGGATAAGTGAAAACTCAAGCATGAGAACAGAGATTCAAACAAAGGCAAAGTGAGGCAGTGAAGAACAACATTAACATTCTAATCTGGAAGGACTGCATGCTGAGGCAGACGACTAATCCAGAAGGAATGCAACAAGAGGAAAAGGGTAGAAGAGGTAAAAAGTTTATGGTACCTGGAAAAACGAAAAGTGTGGCATAAGGCAGCCTGATAACCTACAATCAAGGAGACAGAAGACCCCATGACCACAAAGGGAACGAGAACAGGTGCCAACTTGGTGTTTGAGCTAAGCCATCACTGTAGAATTGTCAGAATGTATCATGACCAGACAATTCCTGGCAAGATGAAGAAAATGATCCAAGGCACAACATACAGCCAGAAGCTCCAGTTGTTATGGTAAGATCTTTCGGCTGGATGACCACTGCCTTGAAGTTTCCTACTGATCGACCCACGACCCCCCCAGCCCTAAAGGGAAACGTCATTGAAGATATGAAATCTGGATGAGGGGGAGGAAGCAGAACACCCGCCGACATGTGAGCCTTCTCCAACCACCAATGCAGATAGCCTACAAGGGAAGTAGGAGCCTCCAATGGATCTCAAGCAAGATTCTATAAGTTGTGCAGAGTCCACTGAAGAGACCTCATATGAGCTCGACCCAAGGGGATAAGGGCTTCCATGGAAGACCACACACCCCTAAGAGGAATAGAACCTCACAAGTTGTAAGAGAGAGAGTAGTAAGGGATGGAGAACTGACAGCTCCACTGAATGAAGTCGAAGAGGAGAAGGTTGGGCCCAACTGGGATGAGTGTCGAAAAAGACACCCAAATGGACAAGATGTCTATTTTGATCACCCACAAACCTAAAGAAAAAACCCACCTGAGGGTGAGAAAAGATTCCATGGTAAATCGGCGTAGAAACAAATATTGATTGAGGCAGGACAAATCGATCACAGGCCACCAGTCCCCAGTTTTCTTGGGTACCACAAACAGCCTGGAATAAAAACCTGAAGAAGGATGATTAATAGGTTTGATAGCCTGCTGGAAGAGAAGATCTTATACTGTATAAGACAGATGTTGACTGATGGTAGGATCCCGAGGCTATGTAAAGGAAACAGGTATGTGAGATAAGGGAGGAGGTGAAAGAAAATGGATGACACGCCCCTTGGATAATACTCGATTAACCCACAGATCAGTGGCAAAAAGTTGCCAAATGAGAACAAAATCAGTCAAGCTGGCCCACACTGCACCAGAACCCACCGGTACTGTTGGCAATGTGTCCATCTGCATTGAACAAAATGAGATTAGGAACTCCTGAAGAGGGAACATGAGGGAGTTAGGAAGGAGCTGGATGGGAAACAGTAACAGGGGCATGTCCAGGCTCAGAATGAGACAAATGATCCACCAAAGAAAGGGTAGTTTGTTGTCACACCAAAGTCTCAGGAATATTACTAAAACATACCGCTGTAGAAAATGGGCCATACATGAGTCCTGGAGATAAGTAGGCAGTAAAAGAACTTAGGACAAAACAGCATCCTTCCCCAGGATACCCAACAATACAGAAACCATGTGTGTAAGGCTCGAGCCATAGAAGACAAACGTGCCAATGTGAAGGTAATCAGGGAGAAGCAACCCCTCAAAAAACTCTCAGGATCTTTTTGGATAGCCTTGGAAAGGAGGGATGGTAAACAAGTATTGTAGAAGAGTTGATAGGGTAAGATGAAGGTGGACAAATTGGGCATGGGATAAACAAACAGGATAATCAGTGTCCATCCCACACATAGGCAAAATCAAGTCTAACTGTTGAGAAATGTACATTCAGCCTGATGGTAGACCAAGGCAAACTGATCCAAAGCCCATGGAGGGCAAGGCTGCTGGCACCCTTAACCATCTGAGAAACAAAATGCTCAGCATGAATCCCAATATCTGTGGTAGGGGGGGAGGACCAAATACTGAGAGGAAGAAGTATCATGTAACAAAGAAGGACTGGGAACATATAAAATTGGGAAAATAGATAAAATAGAACATACCTGAGAAATCATGTTTAAGAAAGCTGTATTAGGCCTAACTGATTCCGCAGTAAGGGTGTAGAAAGACACAGCAAAATCAGGTGGAGGAAAAAGGCTGTCAAAATCCTTGTCAACCCAAACAGGTTCAGTATGTTCAGGAGGAATAGGAGCAAGATTAGCACAACAGGATGTCTTACATAACGATCAATCTCACGACAGATGATAGCTGATAAGTCCAAAGAAGAGTCACCTCCACCTGTAGCCTGTGTGTATGTTAGTATGAGGTATTATCTCTGAAATAACCTGAACCTCAGAATTCACTGTGTAAAAATGAAAATCAAACACAGAT